TGCTGTGCCGCACCTCAGCTGAGCTGCAAAACACCAAAATATAGGACAGACTAGGGTAGGGGCGGGTAGGCAGGGCCATCCGATCGTCATTCGTACCATTCACCCAAACTGGTGAGAACCGGTAGCAGCCCATCCCTGAATAGAAGTGGCCTGATCAAGAAACAGCATGCATGACGAGAATCTCCATAGACATTCACCATTGCATGTACCGCACAGGGCGCTGTATTATAAACACAAGAAGAAAAGGATTGGAAAACTAAAACAAGAACAGTAAACCATCTGCTTAGAAAACCAGAGCACAGAAATCACGAGAAATGACGGGCACGAAGCATGCAGAAGGATCCACGCTGAACCTCCGTTGCAATAAGGGGCCACATTGTCTTTCCTTCACCAATATCTGAAATCCCACTGACTTCACCAATGTAGACAACAATATCATATTATCTGGTAGATTGTTTGCAGATAGGAATTGCCATTGTCCAGTGGTGGGATTCACAAATTTTTACCACCGGTTCGGTGAGCGTGGCTTCGTGGGAGCCCTTTGCATACTTGCACATTTTGCATGCACGCACAGGGCAAACATGCACTTTGCGCAAGCACAGAGGCGTTCCAACTCACCTCCTGCAAGCCTGCACTCTCCTGGTTGCTTCAGCAGCTGTCGCGCGGCACTCTTCTGTGCCGCGTAAAGCAGTTGCGCTTCAAAAGCAGAAGATAAAAGTCAGTATGGGAGCCTGGGTGGGTGGGTCTGAACTGGTTCAGACTCTGCTGCTCATCACCACTACCAGCTTGGTAGAACTGGGCCGAACTGGTAGCATACCACCACTGCCATTGTTGTGTATCTGGATTGTGAGGTGGGAGTGGCAGGAGGAGTAAATTGCAGGGAATATTAGAGGGCTGCGTAGGGAGTGAATTACCATATGAGTTCCCCTTGCTTAAAGTAGACTTGGTCCAGGGTTTCTCTTTGGTCCTCCTCCAACACCTTAACTACTACACTAGGAGCCCAGGTGGGCTATGGGATAACTGCATGAAATTTTTATTTCCGTATACGGATCCTAGATATGAAAGTTGTATTTATTTGGATTATCCAGCTCCCTATTTCTCTTATCTAGTAATTTCCACCAATTTGACTGTCTTCTTCATCGTACCAGATCCTATAGTGTTCTGTAGGATCTAAAATCGCAGTCAGCCTGTTTAGCCAAATATAGCTGATCACTTATAATAATGCAGCGGAATTTTCTTTCAGTGCAGGGAAAGGGGAAGTATCTGTTTGCTGGAAGTTAGTTGGGGGAAGTTGGATGTTCATATCTGTTTCTCTCAATAGCCCCCAAATCCAAACCCTTGCAGTGGATTTAATTTCCCAACATTGTCTACATACTAGGCTCCGTGCACTGAAATTAATTCGTCCATCTGGGTTGGCACTATAGTAAATCTGTCACTCTTTAAGGTTACCTTTAGTGGTTTATGGTTGACAGGAACCTAGATGGGAACTGGGAACCATCCCTACTCTTAGAATATTCTGTGGAAGTCAGTCATAGCTAGTAAATGTTTGGGATGCAAGTTCCAGGCAGGTCCAGGATGTAACAGTGGTGTAATCACTGTAATCCACCGCAGTGGGAGGGCAGAAAGAGACGATGTCCTAGGACAGAGGAAAACTCATTTCACCTGTCTCTGCAGGACAGCTATTGGGAGGAGATACATCCACAGGCTTCAATATGGTTGATGGGTATTCTTTAATGACAATGGTTGGAAAACAATTGGGATTAGCGATTTTGTTTTGGTTGTTTCCTCTTCTGACTGTTTAATTCTCCAGCATTATCGTCCTCCTCCACAACCCTACTATGGTTTTCCTCCACAACCCTACTATGGTCCTCCTGCACAACCCTACTATGGTCCTCCTCCACAACCCTACTATGGTCCTCCTGCACAACCCTACTATGGTCTTCCTCCACAACCCTACTATGGTTCTCCTGCACAACCCTACTATGGTTCTCCTGCACAACCCTACTATGGTCCACCTCCACAAGGCTACGCTTCTCCTCCACAAAGCAACACTGTTGCAGGTACAGCTCAACAACCTTCGCGTTTCCCTGCTCAGCCATCTACTGTCTCAGCCGCTTCTGGCACAGTGAGTATGGAAGTGCAACAGGTTCCCTTGAAGGCCTATCCATTTGGAGATGGGAGAAGCTTCTGCTGGCCCCAAATATCAAAAGTGTTCTTTCCTTACATTCATAGAGACCAAAGGCAAAAATGGGAATTGTTGTCCCTTCCCCCCCCCCCCCCAATTATTATAGATGCATCCTGCCTACACAGGTCGTCCTTGACGTACAGCCATAATTGAGTCTGCAATTCAAGTTGTCATTCATGCCAGTCATTCATCATGTGACTGTGACTGATTTTATGACCTTTTTTGCAGCAATTGTTAAGCAAATGCCATGTTTGTTTTGCAAACACTGCGGTCATTAAGAGAACTCGTTGTTCGCAATGGAGCTCTTTTTTTGCCAGAAACTTGAAATAGACATCAGTTTTGGATAAAACTGTTGCTGAGCAAGGATGTGACTGTTGGGCAGGGGGGGGGCGGTGGCCATTGGAACTTTGAATCCAGGTCCTAAGTATCTTTCTGGATGTTTGCTGTTGCTTTTGGTCATAAATTGAGGACTGTCTGCAGAGAAAGGTTTGTTTGTCAGTCTACGTCTTGCTACAGCTCCACATACCGTCTTTCCCCAAAAATATTTCCCCAAAAATAAGTCCTAGCTTGATTTTTACATGTGTGCCCTATATAAGCCCTACCCCAAAAATAAGCCATAATTAAGACCCCGGCTACTCCAGGGTGCACAGGTAAAAAATAAGCTAGGGTGGGAATGGGGTGGTGGTGGAGCTATCCTACTACTTACCTTCGGACAGTTGCAGCCAGGTCTTGCGCACCTTGGCCCATTTCTTCTGCAGCCAGCATGGCTTTCCTAAAGACCTCTGCAGCTGATATCAGAGCTCTGGATTGATCCAGAGCTGCGTTATCAGCTAGAGAGGCTTTCAGGAAAGCCTTGCCAGCCAAAGAAGTTCCTGAAGGCCTCTGACAGCAAAAAGGAGGCCGGGGTGAGTCAGGTGAGGTGAGTCAGTGGACATCATTCCCCCTGAAAATAAGACCTGGTGCCTTTTTTGGTGGCAATAAAATATAAGACATGGTCTTATTTTGGGGGGAAATATGGTAGATCTGGATTCATGATGGCATCTTCTCTTAAAAAAATATGCTCCTGTTTCATGGCTTTAACTCTCCAGTATATTTTATCTGAGTTTTGTAGAACCAGATATGTGCCGGGTAACTGAGTACAATTGTTGCTCTCAATCAGTAATTTTCAACCTTGGCAACTTTAAATTGTATGGATTTTAATTCCCAGCTTCTCCTGGCTGGGGAATTCTGAGAGTTGAGGTCCACATAACTTAAAGTTTCCAAAGTGAGTATTGCTGCACTAGAAATCCTACATATGAGAGCAACAGTGATTTGGATTATCCATCTCTCATCTCCTTTTATTTAGTAATTTCAATCATTGTTTTACTTCTTCATCTGACCACAGCTATGGTTCTCCATAGTCTGATGACCCGGAGTGTAACACAAATGTAACAAAATCCAAAATGTAAATAAATGTCCTTTAATGCCTCCAACTTGGCTCCACTGTTCAATAATTCTCAGTTGGAGATAAAACTTACTCAAACATAGTCTTCAAAAGAAAGCAACACAGTCAAACTTAATGAGCAGATAGAGATGAAATAAAAACCCAAACAAACTACTATGAAGAAATTTCCACAATGGACCAGGATAAGTAATTATCAAATTCCAGGAGATAACAAGGCACAGTCTGTTGGAAGGACACAAACCAAGATAACTTCAGCCGAAAATAAAACACACGTTGCTTCTGGCAACACTGTGTTTTAACAGTCTCTCTTATATACTATTCTCCCCAGCTGCCACCAATGAGGGGGATCATGGCCACTTCCTCTCTCATAAGCCAAGTTGTTTCCTTCTCCATTCCTCCCTGCATGTCCTAGGATGGAGAGGGGATGGGCCTGGTTCTTCCTCTGACTGCCCAGCCGGCCTCTGCCCTTCCCCAGCCTCCTCCACAACCTCCACTCCCTGTCAGCTGTTCCTCCTCTCCCTCAGAGTCCGACTCTACCAAGAGCATGACACATAGGATCTAGAACCACAGTCGTACTAGATCCTGAATCTTATTTAGCCAAGCATAGCTAATCACTTATAAGAACTTTTCCTGCAAGAGCAGGGAGGTTGGAAGCATCAGTTTGCTGGACAGATCCAAATTCTTGCAAAAGACAAATTTCCCAATGTTTTCTATGCAATGAAGTGCATTGAAGTCCTTCTGAGTTAGTGTTGCAATAAGCCTGTCCTTCTTTAAGGTTACACTTAGAGCTTTTTTGGTTTACGGGAACCCAGATGGAATCCTTTGGGGATAGTCCCAATTCTTAAAATATGCTGTGGAAGTTACTTGTACTAGTCAAATGTTTGGAATGCAAGTTCCAGGCAGCTCCAGGAAATAAAGCTGGTGGGAACTGTAACCCACCACAGTAGGAGGGCAGAATGAGTCAATCCCTGGGACAGAGGAAAATTCATGTAACCCATCTCTGCTGGACAGCCACTGGAAAGAGATGCATCCATGGGCTTCAATACAGTTGGTGGGTTTTTTGTTTTTTTTAAAAATAAGGATTGTAGGAAACAAACCAGACCGGTGACTATATCTTCCATATTTTAAATTTTTCTTTCATTTTTTTTTCTGTTCTGCAGGCAGTGCCTAACAATGGGAACCCACCTAATTCTGTCCCCTATAACTTGCCTGGTTCAGTTTCCCGAGCAGCTTTCCCTGCACAATCTTGGCCTGCTGCCCAAAGACAAGCTGTTCCCTCTGCTCCTTATGATCCTCAATATTTTGCTGGTGCCCCTGGACAATCTGCCTATGCTCCCTTTACACAAGTTGCCCCTGGTGCCCTTTCACAACCTCCCTCTGATTCCTTTTCAAAACCTGGCCCTGCTACCCTAATTTCACCCAATGCTCAGCCCTCTGGTACACCTGGATTGTCTTTGTCT